TTAATAATGCCTCATTAAATAGTTATTATTCCAATTTTAAATCATCATCTAGAGAGCTCATTTAAAAATATTGTTAAAATAAATAAATAAATAAATACATACAACCTATAATTTAAATTTCAAATAAAATAAATGATATTAAAACAAAAAAATAAAAAAAAATTTGCAACTAGCAGAACGTGGTTTCGATCCACGGACCTCTGGGTTATGGGCCCAGCACGCTTCCACTGCGCCACTCTGCTCTGTGATAAAAATCCGCCCTTTGTATTTCATATAACTAATTGCAATTCGATATCATATTTAAGGGATATTTTTGAAAAAATAAAAAAAATATATGTTAAATAGTTCTTTATAAAATTTGGTAGCATAAAAATTACCTACAAAATGCAAATGCCAGTTTTTTTAAGTGAATGAATGGTTGCCTTTTCGATAAAGTTTAAAATGATACTAATAAATTGATTATCAAAAAAATTACACGTTATTTAAATTTTTTTTTTTTTTTACCACAACGTAAATCTTAAATTATTCTTAATATAAAAATAACAAAAAAAAATAGCATTTAAGACGTAAGGTAAATAAAATATGTAACCATAAAAGTAAAAATACTAACGATTTTCTTAAAATCTGCTGTAAAAAAACTTTAAAATAATAAATTAGTAAAATTAATGAGAATTAAGTAACCTGGTAATTATTACGTTATATGAGGCGAAGAATGTTTCAAGTCGTAGTCAACATTATGCTTACGTATAATAATTATTGACCACTCTTCAACTTGCCTCCGTGGCGCAATCGGCTAGCGCGTTCGGCTGTTAACCGAAAGGTTGGTGGTTCGAGCCCACCCGGGGGCGAATTTTTTTTTTTTTTTCATGTTTAAAAATTTACTAATTGCGTTTTTTTATAATTAACATGTTCACCAACGAAAAAAAATGTGAATTAATTTTTCATAATGAGTTAAAATGCACTCTTATGATGTCAAGGTACATTAAACTTTATAAAGTAAATCAAATCTGGTTTAAAAATATACATAATTAATTCTAATAAATATTTTTTTAAAAACCACAATTCAAAAGTAATGAAAAATATACTTTATCATCTACATGTATAAATTAATTAATAAATATTAATGTGATTTTTTATAATTATAGATACTGATAAAAAGTTTCTTTTGAAATGAAATGATTTTAAGGGATGAAAACTACTTATAGAAACTGTAAATAGTCTTAATAATGAACTTTGATGAAACATGTAATGTAGAAAAAATAAGAAAGCTCTTATGTGTATTTTTATACACAGTTAATTTCTACATTTTTGATTCTGAAAGATTTAATTTTCTTCTAGATAGTAGAAATTACTTAGTGAAAAATATCTTTAAAATGATTTTAAAATGAAACATACAAAAAACTTACTCACCAAATGTAAGATCTTTGAAACCGAGCCTGTCAGCTATATCCTCGAGAATATTTTCAAAAATTTGTGATGTCTTAAAAATTTCAGCTTCATTATAAGCTCTTGGATTCTTATAAATATTTTTCAGCCATCTGTGGCAGAGTTTATAAAACCTTAAAGTTGGATCTTTATATATTGATTGAGGTGACCATACATGATGAGCTACTTTTCTACCAAACAATCCAATCAAAAAATAGTACTTGCTTTGTTCGGTTCTTTCAGTTGCCGTACTTCTAAACTAAAAAATTTTAAATCTTAAAAAAGAAAAAAGACTTAAATGCTTTACCATATGATGTTAAAAATATAAAGTCAACATACTTTAAAAGTTGAATTAGAATATTCATTTTGTAAAAGTGAAGGAAATCTTTCTTGAAATCTTTCTGCCAATTCAATCATTTCATCCTCTCCCTCATGTGCAAGTTTTTTTGAATTAGATATATTCATTTGTGGAGACCATTCCTTTATTTTATTAATACTATCAGGACATAACTTACTATTATTGTCATCAAAATTTTTTATGATTAACTGTTGTATTTCTACAAGGTCTACATTAACTTTATTGATAAATTTTTCTCCAGGGTAACGAGTACCATGACGTAAAACTGCCCATATTTTATGGGGGTTACAACCATCAAATACTATCTGAGAGTTATTATTATTTGCCACATATCTGTAAGGAGTTTTAGTTGCAAGATGTTTCCAAAAATAATCATGAGAATTAAAGCAGTCACTATTAACTGTCTTATCTAAACTTAAAACAATAAATATAATAAAGTAACAACGTAATATGGATAAATACATTTTTACGACAAAAAAAGTAGAACGCGTAACTTTAACAAAATGTGGTTATAAAAAATTTCAAATAAAAGCGCTGAAACTGTAGCAGTGACTAACTTAGAAACAATTGTTGTCGATCCGATCGTCAATTTTCTATTGACACGACTTGATTTTTAACATCGAAAAATTAAATGTATTTTTTCTTTGAATTTATCGAAATATTTTGATTTTTTATGCTTCAATTAAAACATTACTTTAGTTTTTTGTCTTGTTCAGTGAGTTGTAAACCTTTTATTAAAACTATATTTTTAAATTTAATTCTAACATATCTTCTAAATATTGTTAACATTAATTTAGTATTGCGCTTGCTTTTAATGTGCAGTTGTGCACGAGGTGTCTAATTTTTTATTGCCTTGACGTATTTAAGATTAGTTATTGACTTTTATTGTTTATTATGGCTTCAGGTGAAGATATAGACAGTGGTATGGATTCTCCAGCTCTGGAAGACACTCCCGGTAAAAAAAGAGGGCTCGATGACGATGAGGATGATGTAAGATAATTTTTTTAACAATAACCAATTTATCAATCCCCGGCTGAATCATTTAATAATATATAACCGAAAAAATTTTAAATAAAAAAATTAAATATATTTCATCACTTACAATTATAATTTGTTTATGGTATATTATTATTAAGTTTTTTAATATTTTGTCAATAATTAGGGCCTGCGGTTTTTGTCCAAAAGCTGCAATCCAAATTTTATTTCAGAATTTTGCAGTTTACTTAAATTTTATGTATATTTATATCTGTAAAAAAAAATATTCTAAAAATTATACATTAAAATTATTAGATATACCTTAATAATATACATATATATTTTTAATTACTTTATGAATTCATTAAAAATTTTTTAAATTTACAATTATTAGGATTTGGAAGATGAAACTTTAGCTGAGAGATTATGGGGCCTGACTGAAATGTTTCCTAATGAAGTAAGACATTTCACATGGTCATTTGTTAATAAAACTTACAAATCTGTTAAATGTCTGTACAGTTTTTCGCGAACTGCTACATGGATATTTTTTAGTTCTTCTATTATCTTATTTGCTCCAGTAATATTTGAAATTGAAAGAGCAAACATGGAAGAAGTTCAGCGTCGAGAGCACAAACAGGTTTGTTTCATTTAATATTATGTCTACATGTTATAAATATAAATCTTATAATCCCTTTAATTTCTATTGATAAACTACTTTTATATTTAGGTAAAAAAAATTTTTTTTTTACATTTCAGGTGCTGTTAGGACCAAATGTAGCTTTAGGTGGAGGTTCCGGAGGGTTAATTCCTTCACGTTAAAATCAATTTTATATAATTAAAAGGAAAGTTTAGAGTAGAAATGAGTAATCATATAGAATCTACTTAATGTTATGAAATTTTTTTTACCTTATACAAAACAAAAAGTAAACATTATTTCATTTTTGGACAAATATTTCATTTTGTTAAAAAATGGAATTATTTTTAAGAAAACTAGCTTTAATGTAAACAGCATATTTTGATTTAGATTATTTTTATTATAGTTAAAGTAAAGTGAAAAATCACAACTGCCAATTTTCAATTATGGGCTTAAAAAATTGTACAAAATGAATAATTTTTGCTTAATTTTTTATTTGTTTAATTTTAATGCATCTATTTCA